AGACTGTTTTCTTTTTTTTTTTTTTTAAATAGGGTCTCTCTGTAGTCCCAGCTGTCCTGGAACTCACTTCGTAGACCAGGCTGGCCTTGAACTCACAGAGATCCCCCTGCCTATGCCTCACAAGTGCTGGGACTACAGGTGTGCGCCATCACACCCAGCTATTTAAAAGTATTTTTAAGGCCAGGTTGGTTGTGGTAGCACATGCCTTTAATCCCAGCACTTGTGAGGCAGAGGTCTCTCTGAGTTCTAGATCTTTTTTTTTGAGACAGGGTCTCCCTGTAGTCCCAGCTGGCCTGGAACTATGTAGGCCTAATAACATTTTTTTTTAAAGTGTTTACTTTCTGTTAGGCAGGAGGACCAGGCGTTCAAAATCATTTTTGGCTACATAGCAAGTTTAAGGCTAGACTGGATTATCTGAGATCCTGTCTCAAAATACTAAAACCAGGCCAAGCATGGTGATCCACACCTTTAATTCCAGCACTTGGCAGGCAGAGGCAAGCAGATCTCTTTTGAGGCCAACCTAGTCTACATAGTGAGTTCCAGGGCTACAGGGAGACCCTGTCTCAAAAATACCAAAAAAAAAAAAAAAAAAGAGACTTAGGTTGGTTTTTTGTGGTAATGGGGATTGAACCCAGACCCTTGTACTTGTGAGGCAAGCACTCTGTTCTTAAGCTGTGCCTCTTATGGCACTATTTTATTTTTTGATTTGTTTTGTTGAGACAGGGTCTCCCTGTAGCCCCAGCTGGCCTGGAACTTACTATATAGACCAGGCTGGCCTTGATCTCACAGAGATCTATCTGCCTCTGCCTCCCAGGTGCTGGAATTAAAGGTGTGTGCCTCCATGCCCAGCCTTAAAAATTTTTTTTTTTGTTTTTGAGACAGGGTCTCCCTGTAGCCCCAGCTGTCCTGTAACTTGCTGTGTAGACCAGGCTGGCCTCAAACTCAGAAAGATCCACGTGCCTCTGCCTCCCAAATGCTGGAACTAAAGGCATGCACCACCATGCCCGGCTTAAAAATTTTTTTTTTTGAACCCTATTTTTTAGCAAATACAAGATTACACTGGATTAGTACATATTCAGGGGGAAAAAAGTACATTTAATCCTTTTTGAGGTATTTGAACTATTTTGTAGATATTTCAGGACTAGGTTCCTTCTGAATAGTGTGTCTTTTCATAGTCATGCCAATCAAAATCTTGGATACTTTGTTGCCCTTATCCTTAGTATAAGATGTATCAGCAGGCTTTCTTGAGTATCTCTTGAATTTGTCACTTC